TAACAAGTAAAGAGTATATATATCACTATCCAGACTGGAGAAGTAATATGCGGCTTACGAATATATACCCCAACAGTCGCACGGGGCAAAGTGTCCAGACTGTTGTTTCACAACGTGCACATTACTTTTCTTCTGCTATCTCTCCTCTCTCTCTCTCTTTGTCTCCTCTCTCTCCTCCTGCCCTCTCCTTCTCTCTCTCTCCTCTCTCTCTCTCCGATTCCTGTGAAGTGACTACTATCTGCGTATCCTCTGCTTTTTTCTCTCTTTTCGCTTCATCCTGCCTATTCACTATCGTCATTCTTGCACTCCAGACGCTTTTCTTCTGTCTTTTCCGCTTGTCCTCTTATTCCCCTTTCGTTGTTACTGATCTCTCTTTTTCTAACTTTTTTTTTTTCCCTTAAAACTCTTAATAATTATCTAGATCCTTTTCTAGTTTGTTTATATTTCGTGAACATGTAAGAGAGAAAGCGAAAAAAACAAATGACGGACCATTTCTACACACATATGCAAATGTACATATAAACACGCACATATACACATGGCTAATTACAGACACATATTTATATGAACAAGCACATGAGAATATAAAATACTACACATGAGATAGCATACACACACTCAGCAACCCCACAACACGCACATAAACACACACACATACGCGCCATATTCTAACACCCACCCCACCCACACACTTACACATACCCCTACACTGTACACCCAACCAGCACCACCCCGCACATTACACAACACACATACCCACCACACCTACCACAATTCCAACCCACACACACATCACACAAACATATCACACAAGCAATCAACCAGCACACACACACACACACACACACACTTAAAAACAACACATAACACCACACCAAGCAACACACACACACACACACACACCACACACACACCCACACCCACCCACCCACCCACCCACACACACACACAAACAAATCACACAAGCACGCACAAACTCGAGCACAAAACCGCACGCACACACAAAGTCGAACCCACGCCCCAACCTGCACATCACATAACGGAGCAGGTCCAGGCAAGCACACAAGAACACGGATGATGACAAGCAAGCAAGCAAGCACGTAAAAGACGACACACATTTTGGTTTCAACTGAAGATACCGTTCAAGCAAGCAAAAAAAAAAAAAAAAAAAAAAAAAAAAAAAAAAAATACGTTACAGTTTGGGCAGCCTTGGACGCACCTGACCCCCCCCCCCTCCCTCCCCTCCCCTTCCATCTCCCCCTCCTCTACCCTCTCCCCCCTATACCCACTTCACCCCCCCTATACCCACTTTACCCCCCCCCCACATACCCACTCCCCCCCCTTCCTTGGCCGAGACCGTCAATATATATTAAACCTTGGAAGTGTGTGTGGGGGAGGGGGGGGAGGGGGGAGAGGGAGATGAGGGGGAGGGGTAGTGTTATTGAAGGGAGGAGGGGGGGGGGAGGGAAGGGTTGTCTTAAACCGTCCAATGTCCTTGTTTTTTTTTTTCTATTTTTGATATTATTATCATATCTCTCCTTGTTCTGTTCTGACCTTTTGAACTCTGTTTGTCCTTCTCTTTCTCTCTGTCCATTTTTTGTGTGTGCAACAGAAGCTATTATGGTTATTCCTTTTGTCTAGTTATTTCATTTTGTAGTGTGTGTCTCTGTCTCTGTCTCTCTCCTCTTCTCTCTCTCTCTTTGTCTCTCTCTCTCTCTCTCTCTCTCTCTCTCTCTCTCTCTCTCTCTCTCTCTCTCTCTCTCTCTCTCTCTCTCGTCTCTCTCTCCTCCCTCTCCTTCCTCCCTCTCGCTCTCTTCCTTCCTCCTTCCCTCTCCTCTCCCCATTTCTCTCTTTCTCTCCCTCCCTCCTCTCATTTCCCTCTTTCTCTCCTCCTCTCTTTCCTCTCTCTCATTCTCCCTCCCCCTCTCACTTATTACATGCATGATTGTATAGAGTAGGATTAAGAAGCAACACGCTACATGCATAAATATATATAATTTAAATTGATCTTCTTATTACTGACCCATGCTATATCACGTGACTAGGCGGGTGGAGATATAAAAGTGAAATATGAAGCAAGGAAGGGAGAGAAAAGAATATGAGAAGAAAAAGAAGAAATGATGATGGTAAGAATAATAATGATGATTGTAATGATAATATGTAATGGTAATAGTAGTAGTAGTAGTAGCAGTAGTAATAATGGAAGACACAAAAAAATGATGATAATGATAATGATGATCATAATGATGATGATAGTAATAGTAATAGATATAATAGTAGCAAATGTAGTAATAATGATTACATTGATAATAATGTTAACAATAACATCAGTAACAACAGCAATCATTATGATAATAACTTTAATAACGATGATGATAACAGTTACAATAATAGCGATATTAAGAAAGAGGATGGAAGAAGAAATGAAAAACAATATTGATATATACTGAAAAGGGTATTCGAAAGAGTAGCAAGAGGAGAGATAAAATGATAAAGATAATAGAAATGGGAATAACTATAATGAAGACGATGATGGTGATTATAAAGAAAATAATGGTGAAAATTGCAATAATAGCGAATACAATAAGAAGGATAATAGCAATAAGAACAGTAATAATGATATTAACAATGCTAACAGCAATAATGATAATATCAATGATCCTCACAATTTTCATGATATCAAGAATGTTAAAAGCAATTTTCAGGCTAGTGAAAAACAACAACAAAACAACAGGTATAATTATAACAAGAAGAACACAACAATCCTTTTATTTATTCATTTTTATTTTTCTAAGTCGGAGGAAGAGAACAAGGAAGAGGCGGAGGCAAATATAGAAAAAAGGAGGAAGAAGAGGAAGAGGATGAGACTGACTGAAAGAGGAAAAAGACACATGGACAAAGAGAAGAATGGGAATGAGGAGGAAAAGGAGGAGGAGGAGGAAGATTATGAGAAGGAGGTGGGATAAAGAAGAAAGGCGAGAAAGAAACCGACGAAGGAGAGGGAGAAGAGGAGGAAGAAAGGAGAAGGAAAAAGAGGAGGAAAAAAAGGGAGGAAAACGACGAAGGAGAGGAGAAGAGGAAAAAAAGGAGAAGGAAAAGGAAGAAAAACCGATGAAGGAGAAATAAAAAGAGTAGAATAAAAATCAAAAGAGGAAAAGAAAGACCAACGAAGAAGAGAGAGGAAGAGACGAACCAACGACAAAAAAGACACTTATCCCCCATCCCCCTGCCTCCACCCCCCCTCCCCCTACCCTCCCCTTAACTCCCCCCCCTTTCAAAAAAAAAAAAAAAAAAAAAAGACCCTTACCCCCGTCCCCTCCCTACCCCTCCTCTCTACCTCCACCCCCCCACCCCTCCCCTCCCTACCCTCCCCCTCACTCCCCCACAAACCCCACCCCTCAAAAAAAAAAAAAAAAAAAAACATCACATCATCACCAACAACACAAGCCTACAAAAGCAAGATGCAAAAGCAAACCTTCAAGGCAAACCGAAGCTAAATCTTGGCCTACGCGAGCCCAAAAACTTGCCCTCTTTTAACCGTCGTCTCCAGAGCCGATCCACTCTCGAGGTCGACTTCTCCTTCTCCTCCAAAACGTGTCGAGAGGCACATCGACCGCCGACGCTTCGAGGAGAGTTAGAAATTGAAGGTCCTTGAGGTAGATGGATGAGGATGGTGAGTGGATGCGTAGCCGATAGCTGAGTGGATGGGTGGGTGGATGGATAGCTATGAGTGGATGGGTGGATGAGTGGAGGTGGGTTGAGTGGATGGAGGATAGAAGGATGGATAAAATGAAGGTCCTTGAGGTAGATGATGAGATAAAGGGATGGGAAAATGAAGCATGGATGGATGGATAGAAAATGGTCCTTGAGGTTGGATGGTAGATAAAGGGTGGATGGATGGATAAAAATGAAGGATGAGGTAGGATGGTAATATGGATGGAAAATGAAGGTCCTGGTCCATGGTAGAAGGATGGATAGAAATGGAAGGTCCGTAGATGGATGGTAGATAAAGGGATGGATAGAAGGATGGATAGAAAATGAAGGACCGATGATGGATAGAAAATGTCCGCATGAAGACCTTGAGGTAGATGGATGAGGTAGGTGGATGGAGAGGTAAGGGGATGAATGGATGGGTGGATAGCGGGATGAGTGGATGGGTGGATGGATAGGTAGCGGGATGAGTGGGAGGGTGTAGAAAATGAAGGTCCTTGAGATAGATGGATGAGGGACAGAGGGATGGGTAGGTGGATGGTTGGATGGACGCGAGATAGATAATTTTTTTGATAGATGGGTGGATGAGTCTAGGAATGGATAGATAGATAGATGGATAGATGGATAGATAGATAGACTGAATGATCGATAGATAGACAGATTCCTACGTCAGAAAAGTTATAAGTGAAGGTCCCCGATCTAGATAGACAGATATATAGATAGCTATAGATAGATAGATAGAGAAAGAAGAGAGAGAGAGAAGAGAGAAGAGAGAGAAAGAAACAGAGAGAAAGAGTTATATAAAAGTAAGAGCGCTGTGACAGATACTTTAATATCATATATATATTTTTTTTCTTATCCTTGTTTTTTTCCCTAATATTTATGTATTTGTTTATACGCTATTATCCTGTTTTGTCTGGGTGGATGAATCTATTTTTGTGTGTTTTTGTTGATTTTTTTGTTTTGTTTTGTTTCTTGTACGGTTGGGTTGGGTAATAGAATGTTTTTTATTATGTTAATTAGGGAAGTGTAATTAGAGAAGTGTAATAAGCGAAATAATTGTGTAAATTGCTTGTTTAAATTAACTGCTCTTTTTCTGCTCATTCCATACTGTTTTTTTTTTTTTTTTTAATCTATTGCAGTCTACCTTTTTTTTTCTTTTTTTCTCCTAATTTATTCATTTATTCATTCATTAACCTGGGTCACCGGATAAAAGAAAAAGAAAATAGACAGAGAAAGAAAGAAAGAAAAAACGAAAAGAAATCGACAACCACAATAAAGAAAGAAAGAGAGAATGAAAAGAGAGAAGGAATAAATAAGAAGAAATAAATCACTACAGTCAAGAAGGAAAACAAACAATGGAAGAAAAGAAATAACCAAAAACATAAGGAAGGAAGGAAGAAGGAAAAAAATGTAAACCATAAAAACAAAACAAAAAGAAAAAAAAAAGATCCACAAGGTAAAAACAAACAAACAAATCTTAAAACAAAGAAAGAACAAACAAAGTAAACAACCACAATCAAGATGATCCTACTGTATTCCCCATCCCTCCCTCCTCCCCCTCCCCTTCCCCTCTCCTCCCCCCCCCCACCCCTCCCTCTCCCTCTCCCCCCTCCCCCCCCCCTCCCCCCCTCTCCCTCTCCCCCACCCCTCCCCCCCCCCCCCCCCCACCCTCCCCCCATCCTCTGGCTCAAAGGACGCTATCGAAAGGAAACTGAAGGAGGCTGAATTAGGCATCTTCAAGGAGATCCTTCGGGCCACCTCAAGGATTTTATCTTTATTTTATTTATTTTTTTTTTTTTTTTTTTTTTTTTTTTTTTTTTTTAGGGGGAAGGAGGGGGGGAGAAGGGAGAGGGGGAGAAGGGAAAGGGGGGATGGAGGGAGGGGCAGGGGGTTTGGAAGGGGGAGGGGGGGGGGAGGAGGAGTAAAAGGGGTAGGGAGGGGGGAGGGGAAGGGGGGGGGAGGGAAGGAGGGAAGGGAGGGAGGGAGGGGAAGGGAGGAACATCACTGAAAATGAGAGTAAGAGGCAAGTGTCGTCGAATATTATTATTGATTTTTTTCTTCCTTATTTGTTTTATCTGTTTATATATCTATCTTTTTTTTTTTCTTTTCTTTTTGAAGGGGGGGGGGTGATTTACGATATTTTACGTTTACAATTTTTTCTTTTTTACGATTGACGATTCATTTGACGTCTTTTAATTTAATTTGTTTTTACAATTAACAATCCAGTGAATTTCTGTTTTTAATCTTTATTATTACTACTTTTTAACGATTATTATTTCATTTACGTTTTACTTTTTCCGACGTTTTATTTTTTTCCTTTTTTTTACTAGGGAGGGGTAGATTTCTGACATAAGGGGGAGTTTTGTATAATAATAATGATAATAATAATGATACTACTACTAATAATAATAATAATGATGGTAATAATAATGATAATAATAATAATGATAATAATAATAATAATAATAATATGATGATGATGATGATGATGAATGATAATAATAAAAATAATAATAATAACAATAATAACAATGATAATAATAATAATAATAATGATAATGATAATAATAATAAAATAATAATAATAATAATATAATGATAATAGTAATGATAAATATATCCATTGTAATGAATGGAATCGATTGTTTCGAATTTGAATTTGACAAGTTGTACATATAACCACGCACGTATTCGTACAAATATAACCTTGCATAAATCCTGCACAAACACACGTGCGCAAAGATAAAAATAAATCCATATATTTTCGCACACTTCTATAAATATACTCTCAGTGATATACAATAACAGACAAATACATATACATACACACAATTACACAGACATACATAACTCCACATTTATACACACCACACACAAACACACACACAACGACACACACAAACGCAAACACACACACACACACACACACACACACACACACACACACCACACACACACACACACACACACACACACACACACACAGAACCCTCAATTCGCAAAAAAAAAAAAAAAAAAAAAAAAAAAAAAAAAAAAATCACAAACTCATTCTAATATACATATCAACGCAAGCAACACTACGCATCAGTGAGTAATCATATCAAGTTAATTTCTCTTTTCCAATTTCGTCTGACCTTCTTACTGTGCAACGTCAATGGGTATTTCCACTCACTCATCATGCAATAGTGAAATAACACGTTCTGAGTGCAACGTATCAATCTGCATGAATTTATGACTTGTTCGTAACCTTCGCTCTGGACGTATCATCGCCCCCCCTCCCTATCCCTCACCCCTTCCCTCCCCTTCACCCCCTCTCCCTTCCCTTTCCTTCCTTCCCTCCTTCGTGTCTTTATCACTTCCTCTGACTCCCTCTCCTTTTCCTTCCTCCCTTCCTTTCTCCCTCTCTTTGGTGTCTTATCACCTCTTTCTCTTTCCACTTCCTTCTTCATCACTTCCTCTTACTTCCTCTCCCTTCTCTTCCTCCCTTTCCCTTCCTCCATTCCCTTCTCCCTTTCTTTGGTGTCTTATCATCTATTTTTCCCTCCTCTCTCTTTTCTTCCCCCTCCTTCTTTTCCCTCTTTGACAAATTGTTCCCCTTCCCCTCTCCTTTCTCCCCTTCCCCTCCCCTCTCCCCCTTCCTCCCCCTCTACCCTTCCCTCATTGACATCTCATCACCCCCCTCCCTCCCCCTCCCCCCTTCTCATTTTGATGATGAGGGAGGAAAAAAAAGGCGGGCGGGTGGAGGTGGAGGGGGGGGGGTAAAATGAGGGAATATGAGAAAAAGTTAAACAGAAAACGGATGAATGGGAGAATATAAGTGGAAGTATATCGAGGGAACAGGGATAGGAGAGAGGGATATGAGACACAGAAGGAGGAAGAGAAGGAGCAGGAGGGGGGGGGGGGGTGACGAGGAGGAGGAAAGGAAGTGAGGAAGAAATAGCAGTACTTGTAGCAGAAGTTTGTAGCAGTAGTAGTATAGTAGTAATAGTAGTAGTGGCAGAATTAGCAGTAGTAGCAGTAGTAGCAGTAGTAGTAATGGTAGTAATAGTAAGAGATTTAACAACAGCAGTGATAGTAGTAATAGTAGTAGCAAAATTATCAATGTACAACTAATAGCAGTAGTAGCAGCGTAATATAGTAGTAAGAGTAATTATCGTATTATCTCTAGTAGAAAGCGGCAGTAAAAGAAATAGAAGAGAGAATAGAAGACGAGGAAAAACAAGAAGTGTAGAAGAAGAAAGAATAAATTAAGAATGAAGTGGATACGCATAACAAGAAGGAGGAGGAGGAGAAGCAACAGAAGAAACACAAGCAGAAGAAGTAGTTGCCGGAAGACGAGCAGGAGAGCCCCAAGGAGAAGCAGAAAAAGAAATCAGATACAAGTGAAGTAGGAGGAGGAGGAGGAGAAGGAGGAGGAGGAGGAGGAGGAGGAGGAGAGAGAGGAGAGGGAGGAGGGGGAGAAGGAGGAGAAGGAGGAGGAGGAGAGGAGGAGAGGAGAAGGAGAAGGGGAGGAGGAAGGAGGAGGAAGGAGGAGGAGGAGGAGGAGGAGGAGGAGGACGCGCAGGTGGAAGAGGAGGAGGGGTAGAGTAGGAGTAGGAGGGAGGACGCAGCGGTAGAGGAGGAAGAGGAAGGGGAGGGGAAAGAGGAGGAAGAAAGGGCAATAGAGGAGGAGGCAGAAAGGGGAAAGGAGGAGGAAAAGGGAAGAGAAGAGGAGGAAAGTAAAGAAGAGGAGGAAGGAGGAAAAGAAGAAAAAGAGGAGGGGGAAGAGGAGGAGAAGGAAGTAGAGGAAGACGGAACAGAGGAGGAGGCAGAAGAAGGAAATAGACGAAGAAGAAGAGGAGGAGGAGGAGGAGGAGGAAGAGGAGGAGGGAGAAGAAGACGGAGGAAGATAGAGAA